GAACGAAGAAGGGATAAAAGAGCTGTGACATGCAAGTCTCCTTGAGCCATTTTCGGTACAGCTGAAAGAACTTGCTACTAAAGCGGATACTGGGTTCGCACATCTTCCACAGCGGACGTGCAGTAATTTTGGTGACGGATTCTCAGCTACTTGCTCCAAGTCGTTCCTCCGATCTGATCCAAAAGGCGCGGAAATCGTGTTACTTTACAGCAGAATAGTATCAATGAAGGCTTAGAAGCGGTGTGGGCGACGATCAGACGCTGGTCACATCTTAGCTACCGTTCGTTGCAGCTCAGCTTTGCCTGCGTCGAGTATGCCTCGTGCGACACCAAATACGAACATTTCCTTTGCAAGTTTGCAGTCAGCTAACACCAAACCCTTCAAAGAATTATGTTGATATCACGAGCAAAATGGTGGAGAAGCTAGGCGTTGCCCGGCTCCATGCATTAGGCACAAGTCAGCTGACTTAGAGAAGCCAAATGACCTGCATACTAGCATGACCTACCGGTCCATTAATAACAACACAGACGGCCAGTTTTATGTGAAGGATCGGCGTTCTTCCTTCATCTTCCTATTCGACACGAAAGCAAAAGTGAGCGTCATCTCTGCGCACGGGAGCGATAAGCATTGGAAGCTCACGTACAACCTGCGTGCGGCCAATGTTTCTCCGATAGGTTCATACGACCAGCGCATGATGAGTCTAAACTTAAATCTCCGCCGATAATTTTACTAGTGACGTCCGTACTCTTCGTAATTATCGGTATGGACTTGTTGCGCCAATTTCGACTGCTTGCTGACGTTGGTTGACATGCACTTTTATAAGACAGTATTAAGCTAAGGGTTGAAGGTGTTCTTTCTGACGCACTGAGTCTCAGTCCGGTTTTTCGAGTCGCAGACGTACTTCCAGATTATCCGAACCTGCTGACCGAGTAGCAGCGAGTGGTGGGACCAGCTGCAGAGCTTCCACCAGTCATGACAGAGGTCGCTCCCTACAAACGCGGCCAGCCAACCAGTTCTCGACCAAGACAGCTCACCTCAGACAAGAGCTGAATGCGATCACGTGGTTCAGCTCGATACCATCCGACCATCCAAAATTCCATGAGCATCACCCTTTCACATAGTACCGAAGATGAAATTGGGGGACTGGCGTCGTTGTGGCGACTATTGTGCCTTAAACATGGTTACCACGAACAATCGCTAACCTATCCCACACTTCATGAATCTCAACAACAATTTGCAGGGTAAAAATTCTTTTAGCAAAATCGACTTGGTACGCGCTTACATCCAAATTCCTGTAGCCGAAGCGGACATCGTTAAAACTGCCTTGACAAATTCATTTGGATTGTTCGGATGCCTGTGTATGCCATTTAGTCGGAAGAATTCCGCACAAACTTTTCAACAACCAAGTTTGTCGTGGTTTAGACTTCGCCCACGCTTATCTCGACGGCATGCTAATCGCAAGCTCCTCACACGTGGAGCACTTGCACCACGTACGAAAAACTGTTGACCGCCAGCACGGGGTGAGGATCAACGCAGAGGAATGTTCGCTTGGTGGCAATTCGGTTTGTTGTCTGTGCCATCATATCTTCTCTGCAGGTTCCGTGTCGACTACCCTGAGCCTCATTCCTCCAAACAAGTAAAATGTTTTGACGGTCTTGTCTACACTTATCGCCGTTTCATACCTAGTTGCGCTTTGCCTATGCCGTCCCTCAAGGACCTATACGGAAGGAAGCTCTGAAAATTCGATTTTCTTACTACAGCACGCACCATCTTCTAGGCTTTGATGGAAGCCATCGCCAACCTAGTTTCTAGAAGGCATCACGACCCGACAGCTCCATTGTCACTCAGTACCGATGCTTCTGACATAGCAGTTGGTGTTGTTTTAAAGCAAAACGTTGGTGACGCATGGCAACCGCTGGCGTTCTTCTCCAAACGTTTACAACCCGCCGAATCTTTTTACAGTGCTTTCGGTAGAGAATTATTGGCCATCCATTTAGGCATACGTTATTTTTCTGGTATATCTTTGAAGGCCGCATGTTTCCGACGCCAGACGCAGGTTTTCGTTATGTGCACTTCGAACTTGTAGCTCCTCTGCCACCATCGAAACGCTCTGTATATCTACTGACCAGTGTCGATCGATTCACTAGCTGGCCTTAAGCTGTTCTCATACCTAACTGTTCTTCGACAACGGTAGCGAAAGATATTCTAGAATACTCGGTAGCTCCGCACAGCTGTCCCGCCATCGTGATCAACGATCGATGGTCATATTTCTCATCTATGTTTTGTCACGTTGCTTAAATATTTAAGTTGTGGCGTATCATCCGGCCGCTGATGGCATAGTAGATTGATTTCATCGCCAACTGAGGGTAGTGCTCCAAGCGCACGCAGACGCTTCATGGTACGAAACGCTTCCCTTTATCTTCCTTGGCATTAAGAACACAGTTAGAGCCGGTTTCTACACAAAAACAGCGCACCTAGTCTACGACTGTACGTTACGCTTATCCGGACGGTTGATAGCACCAGCATCGTCCAATTCATCCTTCGACCACGGAAGTTAGACCGATTGCTTGGCACACCAAATGCGTGAGCAGCGCTCGCTGTCTTCAAGGATGAAGAAGACACCGGTGTACATGCCCGAAAAACTGTCTACTTGCTCACATTTACCGCTTCGCGTAGACGGTGTTTGACTGCGTCTGCAGTTGCATACATCGGACCCTTCAAATTAGTCAACCAAACAAGTAAAACATTTACGATCAACGGCGTTGACTCACGCGAAATGGTCATCATCGGCCGCACCAACCAGCCTTTATGGAGAATACTACCTAGCTTCCATCGTCTAGTAATGCTTCGTTCGATGTTACAACTAATCGCACCAATTTGCCGGATTTAAGCGTCGTCTAACCAGACAACGGTCCCAGTCTACAAAAATCAGCCGTCTGGACATCTTGTGAACCTATCCTGTGGCCTCCTACGACCACATACCATGGTCGGGATTTTCGTAATCCCGTTCGTTTTCTAGACTATGTAGAGTCTAAATACATTTAGGTTTGTAAATATTGAATACCTTCACTTCAGTCTTCTCGTAGAATAACGTTTTTATTACCAAAGTACGATCCAAATCTTTTGAAAGCCCAAAAACAGTTCAAAAGCAAAAATAACTTTAACAGCTTTGCACACATTGTTCAGCTTTTTCACCGTTTTCGGGATTCCGCTTGTGAATTTTTATTTTTTCTTACATGAACCAACCCATTTGCCCTACCGACTGGCCCTAGGTGTAATGCATCCAAAGATCGCCACAGCCATTAAGAAGCCAAACTCGAAAACTGGACGTGCTTTGTGGACGAGGATCGTTTTGGCGGGGCGCCGAGTGCGGCGAGGGCAGAGACTGCTCCCAAGCGCATCATTTGGCAGAGTTGATGTTTCATGCCTTGTCAGCTCTTGGTTTGGACTAGCCAGTGTTTTGAAGCCCGACCAGCCTGTTCCAATGGCTCCCCGAAATGCACCATGCCTTTTGCTGTAATCAATAAATAATGACTAATAAATGGCCAAGCAGATACAGATTGTTGGCTATAGCCATTTCGGAAAGCGGACAGATATTCCTTTGTTTATGCATACATTTTAGGAACTTTGATTCTTACTGAATTATGATTTCGAAAGCTTCTGTGGTTCTGCCTTCTAGGAAGAGCTCTGTAGCAAGCCGAAAGATATCTCTTATCGTTTATATACAAACGTATGGTTTCTCAATCGTTCATTATTTGTATTTGTTTTAACGCTGACCCTACGGCCATGTTTACCTAAGTCGGGGTCATTATTTGTGGGCAGGGTGCGTCTCGACACTAATGTTTGCTCCTGTCTCCCTTTATCCATCCATATCGTTTGTAGCCCCTCAGATACAATCCGCTGTGTCCGACTCCACTTGCCTCCTGATATCTGCTCCGGATTATACACATCGTCTCCGGCTACTACTTACTGGTCCTACAAAATCATGTTTTGGTCAATATTATCTGCTTTACGCAGGTAAAACGTCATATACTAGCAGCAAGGACAGAATTCAGCTCTTGTATGGTAACCGAACAAGCTGAATTCATGAGAGCTTAGAAATTGCGAACTGGCTCACATCTGATTTTATCTTACTTCATCGCGGGAAAGAAAGCTACGCCTCTGTGAAGTGAAGGAAAACTGCGGTCCTCCCTTCAACCCTACTAACGGGGGCTGCACCAAACCCTTAGCGATTAGTTGTTATAAATTCGTCGAATTAAGGAACAGCATATTTTATTTTTTAACCACATCACTGTATGATATTCACTTAAATCTAAAAGACGCCAATAAAATATAAGTGCACTTTGCTGCATAATTATTCAATCTAATTATCACAAAACTGGTTTTGAGTGGAATCCTTTTTGATGCGTAATTTTGTTCAATTTGTGAAGGTAAATTATATGCTGTTGTGTCAGGCGAAATAATTCGTGTACCTAAGTTATCTATGGATCTAACCAGTTTGACGAAGAACGCGTCTTGTAGACTTAACTAACCAACTGCTAAATTTTATTTTAAAATTTGCAATTAGCAAGCTAGTGTCTCATAGTGCGATTACTCGAGTTGTCTCCTACACATATTTTTGGTTCTGAGCAACACAGCTCAGTTGTTGTTTAGAAGTGTTTAGAATCTGCTCACAAATCACTCTTGGGCTCATTTACAATGTATTTAAAGCGCTCAAGTTCCTTAATTAGCGGGATGCCGCAAGAAGCCATGGATGACCGTAGCTGAATAACATGTTTGTCACAATGTCGGAGAAGAAATCCGCTGTTTCCTTTTTCATATGAGAACATATATGGATGTGAAGGGGTTCTGATAAGAAAAGCACTCAATAGAAACGTTATGGATGTACGACAACAATGTGAACATGGTAAATTGCAGGTAAAAATTTCCACAGCGCTTGTTCTGGTCAAACCAGTTTGTAACATACATGCAATTTTAGGCTCATGAGTGCCCAATATCCATTAGTAACCTTTGAGTATCGGTGTATTGATCACATTGAACATGCATTGATCACGACGCGGTAAGTTTAACCGATACATAAGTTTGTACTGTAATTCCCACACTGAAGCATTTGTTGCCTTCATCAAAACTTTGATGGTCGAATAGTTAGTGTATCCAACACGCCCGTAGCATGTTTCAATCAAGTCCATTCCATACGATTTCAGCTAGAGGCAATGGAAAGTACATGTTATTAGCTGATTTTCATTTGGAATGCATGCGAATGATCCATTCAGGTTAAAATGATCTCACTGCAAGTGTGCAATTTACCATCCAAAACAGCAATTGCATCCTGTTTAATTTGTTCGCTTACTTTCTCGCACACGTCTTCACTCGACGATTGTCCACCTAGCCCTTCTGGTTCTGAGTGCGCATATGTCACGGTAAACGCTAGATAAGGAACGAAACGGCTGAAATTATGTCCATTCATGTGGTGGACACGTACCAAGTGCAGCAATTATTGTGCTACAGGAGTGCGATTCAATTAACTGACATTGTGATAAGTAAGTTTAACTGCGAGAGTTGTGATGAATGCACATTTATCTGCATTGTTACAGCACAACCGGACTTACTGAAGTGCTTTCCATTTGGTAACATGTGTGACGGCACTGCAACATACAATGAAGTTAGATTGTTCCAGTTATCCTTCACACGAGCCCGGTTATTTTAGATAATGATCATCAGAAACATTGGGGGTTAGTTTATAAGAGCAAAATGAATTCAAACAGTGTATATTTTAACAACCTAGGCCACCTCCTGATGCTTCAAGTGTTTATTGATATCTTCCAATCCACGGATCACCTATGCTACTCTGTGTTGGTTCGGGCTACATCGTAATAGCCGAGCTAGCGAGCAGCCGCTGACGGGTGTTGGTGGAGTGCCTGCTCAAAACACTTTGGACCGCTTATGCTTTGCTGTTTTCCCAAGCATTTGGCATGTGAGCCGAGCAGCTTTCTTTAAGCATTTCAATCTGCATGATGTCGTCTGGAAATAAATCGCCACAACTATGTGGTATATCATTACGGTAGTAGTGGTGTACATTCAGTAATGTTGGAAGTGGACGTCTTTAAATAGCGACACATACCATAGAAGGCATCTGCGGTCCGTAATTGCACCGGCAAACGACAGCTCACATCAAACCACCTCAGTTTGTTGGCCAACCGCATCTGTGCCGCCACCGTCGATGATTCGTTGACCAGTTTTCCCGGTACTAACAGATTCAGCTTCGTTATGTGAAGCAGTTTGTTAGTCACTGTTTCCTCTCGGAGCTCTACGCGACATTTCGTTTTCATCTACAATGAAGCAATCGTAACAAGCAAGCCTAATTTTTAAGTAATGACGTTATCCGCGCGATAAATGCGAGGTTTACTTCGATATGTTTAGAAGCGGCCCTGGGCACAGCACAATAGCAAGTGTGAGCTCACGTTATTAAGTGAATTTGCAAAACCTAACACCCAACGAGGAAAAGAAATTAGTTTTTCTGCTTACCTTCAGGGCAGCATCAGTGATCTATGGAACATGCAAAGATGAAAGAAAAGTAATATTCGCTCTCTGCGCGTACCCTTACTGTATTGTGAGTAAACTCACGAATTATGTAGCTACTTGCTGATTTGTTGGGACGTACTACTGGTTTCTTAGGAACGCTGCCATCGTGATCTTCAATTCTATGGATGTCCCTTACGCAGGGTCTATCAGAACAAGATTATGTCAAACGTTATTAGTCAAATTGATAGCATGGCTGACAAACATTTGTTTACTGTTCTGAGGGATTAGCAAGAACGTAAACCTGTCGAGTCCCTTCCATGAGGTGTTGTCACGCTGTGAGTAGGTCACACGGATCACGACTCTGGTGTGTTCGTTTGTCTGGCATTCAATGATTCAATGGTGTATGATGGGATAAAAAGCATAACTTTACAAAACCCACAGGATGGATATGCAAAGGAAAATGAGAATCAAAATGTTCCAACGTGGAACTAAAGTATCGGTGGTTAAATCATTGCACTTTGGCAGTGTTGTGTACCGTTTATCACTAAGATGGAAATCTAAGAGTCTTTCGAATGTCGTCACGTCTGGTGCGCTCATGACATAGTTTGGTAATGCTTTCCAGTGAGAACCGATTCTAAGTGAGTAAAAATGTTTTCTACAATTCAAACGAGAGTGTTGCGTCATTAGTTTCAGGTGGTTGCCTCGGTTTTGTTTGTAAGGGGCTAGAATCAACAGTGATGTATATGGATGTTCGCTCGATCGGTTATGGCAGTTCCATCAGAGTTTACAATCGAGTTTATACACTTTGATTTTCTATTCTGCCTGCGGTCCAAAAGTTTTGAGATGCAGTCTACCACGTTGACGCCCTTCAACAGCATTATCTCCTCAGAGCATAGCATTTTGTGGTGATCTTGATACAACGCTGTAAGCAATCTGGTGTGGAGCAACAGCAGGGTAAAATGGTTTGTTTTCATAAACTCTTTATTTTATGAAGTTTAGTGGCTACCTTTTTGAGATGTCTGCAGGTGCAGCAGTCCTTTTCAACTTCTTAGTAAGTTCTGGAGTCACAATTTCAACGCAAAGATGAATACGGTGGTGGAACTCATTACAAACTATTTGTACTTTCTGCGCTAAGAAGATTGGATAACAATTTGAAGACTTTTAAGATCCGAGAAAAGTGACCGGTTCACAGAAAAGAATGGTCGGTAATTGATCACTGATTCGATCGGTTTCGAGAGAATTTAGAAAGAACAATCAATGATGTTATGATCACTACGCGGCAATTTGTCACTTATGTATGTGAACATATGCGAACATCCCACAGTAAATATTAGATCTAGTATGTTACCAAGCCGTGTGGGTACTTTGACATGCTGTACCCATCCCAGTCTACCAATAGTAGACATAAAATGATTGTCTGTTTGTGGTTTATTGTTAAGGGACCATGGGTTTTCGGGCATATTAAAATTCCCAGCGATTAATTTATTAGTGTATGAGAGGTCAGCGATAAAAGAAAATGTGTCCAACAAGTCGTCGCTTACGGTGCGTACAGACGATGGGGAACCGTAAATGCAACTTACCAAAAGATTTGTTGGATTAATAGAAATGGTAGTCCACACCGAATCAGGAAGTTTCCGTGGTAGTGGTTCATTCAGAGGAAGAACCAAAAATTTGTCTTTGACGTAAATTATACAACCACCAGCTCTAGCATAAAGGCAGTCGTTCCGAAAGATGTAATAACCCAATATCCCGAACAATGTGTCAGGCATCTCCGCTGAACACCATGTTTCTGTTATTACTACTGTATCAGGAGATGAAATGTGAAGAATATTACGCAGGAAGTGCATTTTATTCAACAATGAACGGGAATTAATTAACAGTAAGTGCAGTGTCTTGTTTTCCGTTGGATTGTCTACAGGAATCCAGGTACAGGACCCCAACGAGGTGGTATTTGGAGAGATTGGAGTGGGGGTGATGGATACGGAGGATATATACTTTACGAAATTAGTGCCATTTGGGTAAAACGCCAATGGACCCAGCAAAAGGGTCGGAAGGGTGAAATACTGGGAAAGTGTCGACCCACTGGGAGATTGCAGTTCGCTGGCTGTGGCATATACTCTGCTTGTCCGTTAAGATTATTTACATGTTGAGGTAGTTTGAGAGGATTTTGCTTGTGCCAATTTCTCTCAGCTACTTGAATTTCATTAGCAAGTGAGTCACAGGTTATGGAGCGCACAGGTTGCATATTCAAATGCTGCATGCTTGGTGATATGCCGATTGTTTGCAGGTTACCAGTGGTGACAGCGTTTGGTGGAACGTTTAAAATAACTATTTTTATTGTGCTTAAGAGCACCCGTATAGATGCCACGTGAGGTTTTGGAACCAGGGTTCTTTACAACAAGGCTGTTCCGCAGTGTTGTAGCTATTAGAGGTACACAGCTTTTTGGAGAGGAGGTCGTTGGGTGGAGCCTGGGATACTAATCGGTAATCAGTGACACGTAAGAGCCGCGTCATATACTGGACAGTATGGAAGTCGGAGGCGACTGAACCCAACGTATATTGTATTGGCTACAAAAATGGGAAGCGAATCAACCAGAGCGAGAAGCGGTGCAGCAAGGTACTCACCAAAACGTTTTGTGTTAACGGATGTGCCGTCAGTAAGACAAGTGGACGTTTTGAAGGTTAAAACAACCGTAAAATTCAATGTTACAAAACACTGAAAGAGCGTGTTTTCCACTACACTACAAGCGCCTCCTCCTAGAAGGCTGAAGGATGAAAGCATTCGATGGAGCTGTTAGTTGGAGAAAACGGAAGGTGAGAATGGGTATGAACAGTTGCATGAGCTTGAACAAGGGCTTCCAAGATGGAGTGTGTTGCAGAGTTTGCTGGGTCCAGGCTTTGTTAGTTATTATTTATAATGATGGTTTGGACCAGAGTGCATCATCGGTGGGCCGTCAGGGCGGGCTAATCGGACTGCAGAAACTGGCTAGTCCAAACAGAAGGCTGCCTGGACCTTCCCTTTGCTGCAGATCCGAGGGTGCGCTTGCAAGGTGTCAGTACTCCCACCGCACTCCAGTCCACGGTCCTCGTCCCACGAAGTAATCCAGGCGTCCACGTCTGCAACGCCTAGTCAGGCGTTTGGGGTCTAACCGTTCGTGTCTGTCTGTGGCCGAGGGCGACTGACTTCTTTGGGTCGGTAAGGGGGCTTTGCATCGGCTGGCGAGTCACTCCGGGGTTGCGATGAGCCGGTTGGCGAGGCACTCGATGGTTGTCTTGGCATTTCTGGCGGACGAGTTTCTGGAAGGTAGAACACAGAAGGGGTGGACAAGGGTCGGGGTAGGTGTCTTGCCGCCGGTAAGTGTACATGACATACATGATAAAAGCAAACACGCTTTTTAAGTTTTCAAAACATTTGGGGTTTTTGTGGATTTTGCAAAACGTTTGTGGATGAGACGCACTATTACTAATAAAGCCGAAAAAGGCGTGTTAATGGAAATAGAAAACGTGTACAATATCTGAAAAACGGACCAGAAGTTTGACCTGTCTACTGCGTCGGTCGGTTGCTTGGGGTTGAGGCGGAGTTGGTTAAGGGTCAAGAGGAACGGAGGGTTTCTAGATATTCAGTGCTCGGGAAGTCACCGCAGGTGCGTATGCTTGTGTGATAGCATCAGGATGTGTTGTAAGTGGTTCGTTAAAGAAAACCAATTTGAGGCGGTCTATGGACATCGTTATTCGATGACCATTCTGGTCTGAATTCTAAGGTTTCGGAGTCCGTTGCAGGATTCTGAAAGGGCCAGTTAGAGAGGCTGCAGAGATCGCCGCACTGCTTCGGTGCGGAGGAAGACTGAGTGCAGGTAGAGAGTCCGCTGTGCATGTGCACATCTCTAGTCTGTTCACGGGGCGGAGCCGGGTGTAGTGAACGCATGCGTTGAGCTAGGGAGGACGCAAATTTAGGCCGAGGCAAACCCGGCGATGCGGGAGGTGAAACGAAATCTCATGGAAACTGTAGCGTTTTGCCGTAAACCAGCTCTGTTGGGGCATATTGCAAATCAGTTTTGATGCTGCTGCGAATGCCAAAGAATAGGAGCGAACCTTTTTCGATCCAGCTTGGGTCGGAGGATGCGCAGAGCGAGGCATTACGCTGTCTGTGGAAGCGTTCAACTAACCCGTTGGCTGCTGTGGTATGAATGCGGCGATAGCCTAAAAGGTTGCAGAACGTATCGAATTGTGAAGATTCGAAAGGCGTTCTTCGGTCAGTCGTAATGGTGGATGGGCATCCGTAGTGCGAGACCCACCGATCTAAGAAGGCCCGGATAACAGTCTCAGCTATGCAATCTGTTACAGGAATGGCTTCTGGCCATTTAGTGAAGCGGTCGGCACATGTAAGAATTTATACGAATCTGCGTGAAGAAGGCAATGGACCTACCAGGTCTAAGTGTACATGCGAGAACTGAGAGCCCGGGGAAGGAAATGAACCAGGAGGACTGCGAGTGTGAAGATGTGCTTTGGAGCGCTGGCTTTGAAGTCAGAAGCGAGCCCAGGTACGAACATTTTTGTTTACGCGTGACCAAACGAAACATTCGTTGACCAGTTTTAGATGCACGGATACCGGGATGTGATAGTGAGTGCAGTGCGTCAAAGACTGTGCGTCTGAAGGAGACGGGAATGAGGGTTCTACATCAACCTGTGGAAATGTCACAGAGAATGGTTCCTTCCGTCGTTTGGAGAGGAACAGGTTGCACATGCAGCGAAGTGGACTGCAGACCGTGCTGGATGTCTTTGTCCTGAGCCAGAGCCAAAGCCGTGG